CCTGCTGAAATTAAATGGGACCACTTTCTTTAGTCAGACTTGTAACAAGCAGTGTTTGCACCCTGGGCAAGCCCTGTGGAAGACTGGTTGAAGAGGTATGTTTCAAAGAACAGGGAGAACAGTGCAGGAGTGTTATCCATTCCAGGAGCTCCCCCAAAAATAGTTCCTGGCTGCTGCCGCCACCACCACCACCCTGCATGCTTTGCCCATCCCCACTGCAAGAGTAACACCACAAAGCTGCTCTCACTGGAGGCATGGACTCTAGAGGCGATAGACAAATTCTGGCACCTCTCAGTTGGCATCTGGTGCTCCTTTCACTCACCCCTAATTATGCTACTGTGTAATCACATTCTGTAATAAGTGATAGAATTGTACCTTAATGTTTGCTTGAAAGACATGTATAGCAGCAGCAGAGCCAAGGACTGTTTGGGTAAGGCTACCAGCAGCCCATCCTCATCAAGCCTCCCACACTCCTGGAACTGAGCCCCCTCACCTGCTCTCCCCCAGGGCTTGTCCACATCCCTCCTTGCTAAAATAACTGAATACAAACACTGACCACATCTTGTGTTTGACAAATAAAGACCAATTATAAATGTCCAATTTCTACAGATTTCAACTGTTTTAATAAACTACTGAAATCTGGTCATAAAGTTCTGAAGTAAGGTGGTCCCTTTAGACTCCTGTCTAAAAAAAAAAAAAAAAAAAAAAAAAAAAAAAAAAAAGGGAGAGAAATGTTTCCTCAGTCTTTGGGATATTATTTTTAGCTTCACTAAATGGCAGCTGCCTGCCCAGAGTCACACGCAGATCTGTGAGTAAGTGCATTGTATAGCACTTCAATGGCACACAATTCAATGGACTTCCACCTAAGCAACAGGAATGTTGCACAGGCTTTAGAGAAGGATGCAATATAAGCACAATCTTTAAACCAATGTTAGCTGTATTTTGTGTTTCACTGTGCACTTTCAATGCGTTTTCAATCATATGTACGAGATGTTTTATTTAAAAAAGATTTTTGCAGCACCAGTGCAAGAAAAAAAAAAATCTGTATCTTCTCTTCCAAAAAGTTATTAAAATTCAGAATAGTACATTTGGATAATATCTGTGCAAGATAAGAAGAAACTAGGATTAATTGTGCTGCTTATCATCAATTTATCCCTGAGAAACAAATGTTATTTATCAAAGTGATTCTTCTGGAGAGGTTTATTATTAAATTTTATATAGCGATCCGACTTGGCAGGGCTGGTGGGAATAACATGGACTTTACTCACTAAATACTGACAATAGGCTGAAGTCCACATACGTAAGCAGACCTGTGAAATCCCAGAGATCCAAGTCACTGAAATCAAAAAGGTTTTTCATTTGCTGAAGGAAGATTGCTGCCCCCTGCTCTTGGAGTGCCTTGTCCAATCTAGTTTGGAAATCTTCAAATTAACAAGTTTTCCACCATTAGATTTACAAAACCTAGTTGATCTCACCAGGTCAACACAGTACGGTATTGTGCTATTAATGCTAGCATGTTTCACAGTAGTGCACGGACTGGAAGAAACTTTTGTCATCGTGAAATTCAGCCCCCTCCTTTGGTGGGACCTTAAGGTTATGGAAGAAGGGGAATTTTATGTAAAAAAAATAAAATAATAATAATAATAATAATAATAATAATAATAATAATAAAATCATGCTCCATAGTAGCAGCAATAGGTTTGGTCCCCCTCCTCCGCCCCCGTTTGGGGTTTTTTGTTGTTGTTGTTTTTGTTTGTTTTTTTTTTACCCTCAATACTCTAACTAAAAGCTGTTTATTAACCCCAGTGCTCCAATATTTAGGAAGCTTTTCATTTCCAGCCTAGATTTATGGTCAGATTATACCCATTTGTTCCTGTGTTACTGTTCTCCTTTAGCTTAAAACAGCTTTTACTGACTTCGTATTTACCATGATGCATTTATAAGCACAGTCATATCTTCTTTCAGCCTTGGTTTTCCAGACAGACAAAGCTCTAACACACAAGGAAATAACTGAAAGACTGATCATTTCCTTGAGCATCCTAGATCTTCTCCCTGTACCCATGTCAGTTTGAGTTGGTCTTTTTGAAGATGAGTAAATTGTACACAGGGGAAGAAAGAGATGCTTCCCTACTTCTACTGAAAATAACTCTGGATGTATCCTAGGAACACACTGGCCTTTCATAGGCAGAGTCAGCTGTTACCAATAAGTGTACCAACATCCTCCTAAATCCTCCATTTCTAGTTAAAGAGCTCCTTGTTCCCACCCAACTATAGGCCTTCTTCAGAACAAGCAAAATGTCAAGGGACCAGAATCAGGAAGCTGCAAGTCAGCCTAGGTTCATGAAGCCCAAGCCAAGCAGCAGAGATCACATTAAAGGTCAGGAGTTGGATTCAGGAATGACCTAGGGACAAATAAAAAGAGCAGGAACTAGGGTCAGGGCAACGTGATGGGTCTGCAAGTTCACCAAAAGCCTTGCGATGAAGACAGTTTGCCAAATTTCCTCCTCTTAAGGAATGCTGTTGCTTGAGAAACCAGAAAGAGTTGAGAGGAGCCTGCTTATCCAGTGAATAGTGAAGTGCTTGATACTGGCAGCAGGATCCAGATTTTTTTCCTGCAACAGAAGAGAAATGGACTAGTACCTTACTGCTTCTCGTGTAAAAAAAAAAAAAAAAAACCAAACAAAAAAGTTAGCGATTTGGGTGATCATCTCTTGAGACAGCAAATCCAAACCCTGCAACAAAAAACTTGGGCTATCAAGATCTAGCTGCCATAAGGAACATTTGAGAACCAGGTCAAGAAGTTTCTGCTGTTTAACAGTTACATAAAGAATGTAAAAATGAGTTCAGGACCCTTGTGGAAGTAGTAATCAAAACAAAAGATTAAGTTTAGGTTGTGGCAAAACTGGCTGTGGTACAGAATGGTTTATTGGAATCCTGAAGCAAAAGATTAAAAAAAGATGAATTTGATTATGCAATTAAAAGCAGCCAAGAAACAAAAGATTCTACTTTCTGGAAGAATAAACTCCTTAAAAAGATTTGATATTTTTGTTCAATACTACATTCAGTATTAGCAGTAAAGAAACATTTGTTGTTCCAGTCATGCCATTTCTTGAGTACAGGTTGACAAAACCTTGGTAACTTGAATTCATTGCTAGACAGAATGAATTCTCATAGACCCAGTTTGAACAACCTCTTATCTAGTGCCATGAGCAACCTGTAAAGAATCAAACTCAGAATGGTTATCATCCACGGAGAGAACAAATCGAACCATGAAGTACTGTACTCTAGACCACTCTCTACCTTCTAATGGCCCCTTTCTTCTTGCCTCATTTAATATCATGCAGCACTCACCCCAGCCTGCCCAAAAGGAAGCCACCAGCTAGAAACGTGTACGCATACCAAACTCTTCTTTTGACAATGCCCCTGAAGGCAAAACTCCCCCAAAATGGTTTTGCCTGTTTGACTAGTTTTCATTAGTTTCTTGGTATTTCAACCCCCAGGAGATGAATCACCACAACTCAGTACCTCTCAAGTCCATTTACAATGCTCCCAATGGCAACATGCAGTCATTCAAGCTTTTGCTTTCAAGTCAAACTTGGACCAACACATCTGGTACTATGCATGTAACTATGTATGCATAACACTATAATGCATACCATGTAATGTAAAGTTTCTTCTGGAACATTTGCTACTAAATTACTGCTTCACTGCCCTGCTGTATTATTTCCGAACCTGTAGACACCAATCAATCAGCAATTCTAAACCAGGGTGCCACATCCTGGGATGTCTTGAGATCCTTTCAGGAGTGTCACAGCATGCGCCACACAATGTTAGTACTGCTAGGTTTATAAAAGTGATTCACAAGATAAACCCAGCAATTTCAAATAGAAATCCACAGCTGCATCCATAGACTACTCTATTATTTTTCTATAAATCAAAAACAAACTTAAAACTAAGCAAGCATTTTCTGAAGGGTGCCTCAAGTCTATGCAGGAATATATGCCTGGAGTCTAAAAAGGCTGAGAACCACTGCTTTTAACTAGTGACAGAAGTATCCACGTTTTGTGAATAAAGATGACATTTTCTTCCTACCTCCCTATCCCATAAGCTTGTTAAGACATGTTTAACTACACAATAGGCACTATAATTCATACTTCAATACATACTATACTATGCATCTATTTAAGAAGCCTGTTGAGAGACGTGTGACATTCCAGGTTCATTAAAGTTAACTTGATTTAAAAAAAAAAAAAAAAACAAAAAAACAAACAAACAAACAAAAAAAAACCACACACTATTAACAAAAAACAAACCTTTACAGTATCACTTTTTCCAAAGGGCTCATTCAATGTACACAATGGGCTACAATCTCTGAATAATTTATGCAATATTATCTTATCTTCTTCATTCAATATGCATTTTACCCCATACCATAATTCTGTATTAAGTGAATTTTGCATTAAGTTCTCATTTGTCAAACACTATAGTCCCTTGATATTTCCACATACTCCGCTTCATAACACCCTATTTTAAACAATAGGGGATTGAAGCAAAGGATCCTAGGTCCAAAACGGTAAGTGCGCACTAATTTTGGGCACTCAGCTTAAGAAATGTAGTGGTCTCATACATCAATCAAGGCTTTTTAAAGAGTTTACGTGTTCATAATATAACTCATTAACTGCAGTTAGTTTTGAGTTCAGAGAACTTCAAGATCAGGCCCCTTGTGGTTCAAGATTAGCATTCATAGGTTCATAGATGTAGGGCTGGAAGGGGCCTTAGCAGATCATCTAGTCCGACCCCCTGTCCGGCAGGAACGAATACTGGGCTCATATGACACCAGCTAGGTAATTGTCAAGCCTCCTTTTAAAGACCCCCAAGGTGGTGCTGGCTCCTACTTCGCCTGGAAGCTGGTTCCAGATCCTGACTGTGAAGTAGTGCTTCCTGATATCTAGCCAGAAAAAGTGTGTTATATAACATTAGTCAGGCAGGTTACAAAGACTACATGAGCTTGGAGTGGAATAAGCATGTCTCTCCAGGAGAAAAAACACAAACAAACAGAAAACTCTTGGCCAAAACCTAGTGTCATGACCCAAAGGCATGATTTTGTGTGTGCTTCGGCACCAGAATTATCCCCGCCAGGTTACAGCTTCGTTGCATGGGAGAGTTTCCTATTGCAGAGGAGAACCCCGGTGCAGGGACTAGTTTCCCACCTCTTTGCAGCTTCTTTTGCAGGGTGCATTGCTCAAATTGCAAGAGAAATGCACGGTGCAAAAGAGTCCCCACCACCCACATGCAAATTCGTTCCCCGCTATTGGCTAGTTTTAAATTATTCCCACGTGGCGGCTAACAATTGGCCTGTTAGCCGTATAAGAGGCTTGAGCAGTTTCCGCCCAAGCCGAAGAGGACTCCACATCCATCTCGTGGGGACTCTGGATACACGGCAGGGTAATAGAAACCCTGTGTGAGATTCAGAGGAGCTTGGCGACCTGATCCATCGCCCACCTCTTCCCGCCTTCGAGCGCAAATTTTATAAGACGTATCTCCGATTCCGATTTTGGTGGCGCGCTCACCCAGAGCATCCGGAGCTCTGTTCCGTGGAGCCTAGCAAACTCCACGCGACCGTCCATGTTGTCTGTGTCTGTAACCGCAACTCAAGCAAGTTTTCCAGCCTACACCACTGCCACCTCGGTGTAAGTAAACAATCTTTAAAACTACCACTAAGCGTTTGTGCCTAATTCCAGCTCGTCTCCCTCCCTCTCCGATCCAGCGTGCCTGGGCTGCTGGCCACAGCCCGCGTGCAGCACGAAAAAGGGCTCGGGTCGCTCCCAGCCCATACACCTAGCAGATCTTATACTCACAGGAATTTGATGTGGCTGTCCCTTAAAATACCTTTGATTTTGTGGCATTTACTGAAGATAAGATGTACGTGGTTCTCTCTAAATGGGTTTATCTGGAAAAAATAGCGCAAAAAAATCTAACCTGCGACATCTTAAAAAAGAAAGCAGGGAGGTGAAAATATATAAATGAAGTCAGAACCCATCTTAAACAGAAGTTTTGTGCAAGATTTGAGAATAACCCTTTCTGGGATAGGTGTACAGCAGACTACAGGATCAAAAAGATAACAGATAGGAAGCCTAGATTAGCCTCCTGTGAAGCTGGCAAGCAAGTTCACTTGAAGGTACCCTCAATGCCAGAAGGACACCCTGGAGAAGTCTTTTAGAACTACTGGAGGCTTTCTAAACATTTCTGCCCAAATAGTCTCTCACTGTGCTCTGAAGAAAAGGGGAGATGTAGGGCTATTGGGGTCATGTGGTAACAAAACACAACTGTCACCACTTTCTGACAGAAGAGTTGGGTCTCTTTTGGCCGGTGATGTAGTCTATTACCACGGCTGTCATGAGCATGTTTTATGTTAAATCCCCAAATAAGGCAAGAAAGCTTTGCATTTCTGTCTCAGTCCCCACCCACCCCACCCAAAGGAAATATGTAAGGTGGCCTCCAGCTGATGATTATGTGATCAATAAATCAAGAAATTACCTCTGCATAAAGATTTCTGACTACAATCTGCTGGCAAAAGAAACAGCTAGATTCTTATGTCAAACTGATATATTCCTGAAACACCAGGGTTGTAGGTAGCCAAGAGAGGGTCTCCCATATTCCTCCTTCCTCAGGGTTTCAAGGACTTCTGCTGTGGGCAGTACTTAAACGGCTGTCTCCGAGGGCAAGAAGGAATTTTAGGAATTTCTTCTTTGGAGCTGGGACACAAGCCCAAGACCTCAATGAGACTTGTATCTTAAAAAGGTTAGAGTGGCCATTATCCATACCATTGCTGAAAAACCTTGCTATTCTTAATGAACAATCCTTGATCTTTATCTGGACAGCACGTGGAACTCCCAGTGCTCGCAGACAGAAAGACCCCTCATAGTCACGACAGTCAGACTGTTATGCAGGATCAAGTACACCGAGTGCCACTTAAACCATATACTAGTCCAATGTAATATGGCTTTTCAAGCTTCTCCAGCTGATCTTTAAGGATCTGCTTCCTAATACTGGAAGTTCTGTTCCCCAGAAATTTTACTACTCTAATCTGAACAGTGTTGAAGATGATATCCAACTTTCTTGGGCTTCTTCCTAAGGAGTTAGCTTTTGCTTAGCCTAGGGCAATGGTAGGGAGTTATTTGGGTCCACTGGCCACACAAGCAGTTCTGGGGAGCTGCCACGGGCTGGACAGCACCCCCTTCCACACCTCTTTCCTCCACAAGAGCCCAGACCCCATGCACCCTGCAGTTCCTCTCTGCCACTGCCAACAGCGCATGGCCCCTGGCCTTCCCCACACCCGCTCCAGACTCGCACTGGCAAGAGCAGACTAGCCAGAACCCATGTGCACAGCCCCAACCCATCCCACACCTGCTCCAGACTACCCACCCACACCAAGCAGAAGCTGCTGCTTGGCCTGAGGGAAGAGTGGCCGCTCTCCCTTGCTGCTACTGGGCCCTTCTTGCTGTAGCGGCCCAGAACTTGTGCCCAGGCTGCCATGCAACTCCTCTCTGCCACCACCACTGCCACTTCAAAGCCACCCAGCAGAACAGCAGAGAGTAGCCACAGGGCAGCCCAGGCATGGGCTCAGGGCAGCTGCAGCAAGGAGGACCAAGCTGCAGCAAAGGGGTGGGGCTGCTTTTCCCTTGCACCAAGCAACAGCTTCTGCCTGGCTGCCCACTGCTCAGTGTGGGCAAGCGAGTCTGGAGCAGGTACAGGGCAGGCTGGGGTCAGGGATGCGAGTGCAGGTTCCAGCTGGTCCACTCCACCAAGCTGAGTCTGGAGCAGGCATGGGCTGGGCTGGGTTCAGGATTGTGTGCGTGTGGGGGGGCCCTGCCAATACCATGGGGCTAGGCCCAGTGGCAGCCGCCGCAGCCCGAAGGGGGCGCGACGCCCCCGAGAGGGCCCTGCCACTGCATCCTAGAAAAGGTAGTACAGCTGTGAAGGGCTCTTGAGAAGGATGTAGCTGCTTATCTAGCAAGGATGACTGTAGATTAAGCCAACTGCCTAGAAGGATGCAACAGCTTTGTACTCTCAATGCAGTACCCCATTCCCACTTTAGCAAGAATAAGTGCCATGAAGGGGACAGGCAACTGTGCAGCTACATGTTGCCTGGTTTCCTGGGCAGCTGCCAGCCAGGTCAGTCTTTTCCAGGCCAGATTTGCACAAGACTTGAGGAGGCTGTAAGACCAGAACGCTGTAGCCAAGAACACAATATACAGGTTGAAACTCTCATTCCAGGACTTGAGCTCAGGGGAGCAAGAAGCCATTTAAAAGCCGATTCAGTACCAATAGGGCCTATTATTCAAAACAAGTTCTGATCTTGTACATGCATCCCAAGTGCATGTAAAAAATGTAATCTGCATGGACAAGCTAGGACCTAGTCTGCTTCTTGCAACTTACCCACTATTACACTAACCCCTCTGGTATAGACAGCTATAGATACTATGCCTTTAAGGTGGAGAGATTTAGGACACGGGCTATGAAGCATTAAAAAAGAAAAAGGATAATTTCCATATAGACAGACATATAGGCCCCAACTGCTCCTCTACTGGAGCATCCTGGAACTGGGAGACTGTGGTAGGACTTGTGGGTTTCCCACTCCAGAGTTCATACACAACAAAGGCGCTTCAAAATGTGATGTCATGAGTTATGATTTAAGGCAACAAGGCCAATTTTAGAGTGCTTTGGCCATTTTTAGAATTTCAAAGGGTGGGTATGCCTGTAATGTTTGTTCCCACTATCATGGTATGCCTTAACCAAGAACTGATCTTTCTGCAGTTTACCTGGTTTACTTTCCAACTTCTGTTGGAAACAATGCAGGAGATTGGCAGAGATGGATAAAATAACCCCATTTAACTCAATAAGGACTATCCAACTTGTGTAAGAATAGAGGAAGGAATATCATGAAAAAGATTCTAAAAATTGTGCAATTAAAAGCTGTATGAATGCATAAAGACAAAGAACAAATTAAGGCTGCATCAGGTCTTTATTCTGTCACTTTTAAAACTTAAATTTAATCTCACAAGTTTAACAACTTTAGTCAAACACCAAATGATTTCCTACACTTAAAGAAAAGCACACAGGAAACAAAGGATTCCATCTTGTGGAATTCTACTGGCCCCACATGGATCACTGGACTTAAAAGGTTTACAAGTTAAAACCGCTGAAGTAGAAGTAATAAAGAAACTACCAATGAAATCAGATGCATAGTTTTCTAGTGAGTTTCAGAGCAATTAGGTGAACTACAGAGGAAAGATGGGACACTAGAATCTTAGTTCTTTTCACATGGAAAAAAGTGCAATAGTGGTCAGATCCTTAAAAGATAAATAAATTTTTTAAAAAATTAACAAAATATATATCACTCAGGTAATACCTCTAAGAATTCTGGCAGAGAGAAAAACAGTTTTATAACACCTCATTCTAGAATTAACACCGGCAAGACCAAAATTACATTTGTCTGAAAAATGTAAAGTGATAAAATTGCCATTAACACTTACAAAATTGTATTCATGTAGAATTAGTGAGCCCAAGATCATTTGCGTTTTAACTGTGCTACGTTCATCTTGAAATAAAAATTTAGTCAGTCAAAAATGGTAGTTAAATACTTACTTATTTGACTGGCAACCTGATCTAGTTTTTCTTGAGATCTGCTGATAAGAGCTATTTTCATTCCACACCTTGCTAACTGCAAAACAAAGAGATACAAAGTCAACCAAATCACAACTACATTCCAGGTCACTAAAAAGTTACCATGAAACATAATGCAGGATATAAATCGACCAGGAACAGGAAGTCAGAAAAACTAATACTACTAGGATGGCATTATGCTAGTGCACTTGTGTGGATATTGTCACAACCCAGTGATTTTTGTGCCTTGGCACTATGGAATTTCCTGGCCACATGAGAGCTCCTTTGCACGGCAGAGTGTTCTGCTGCAATTGAGAACCCGCGAGTGGGAGAGAGTTCCCGCCAATTTACAGTTTTCTTTGCAAGATGCATTTCTTCTTTGCAGCACAGAAATGCACGGTGCAAAGAGTTCCCGCTATTCAGATGCAAATTTGTGCCCCGCTATTGGCCAGTGCTAAATTATTCACATGTGGTGGCTAGCAATTGGCTCGCTGGCCGTTTAAAATTCCACACAACTTCCGCCCAAGTCGAAGAGCTTTGAGCATGCTGCAGAGTGCCTCTGAAGTTATCTGACTTGCAGCTGCCGATCGATAGACTGATCACCTATCGATCTTTCTTCCCGTCACCGAGCGCAACCCCAGATGTACCCCTTTCCCCACTGGCTTCGAATTGCGGACGGATTAACTGGCTTGGGCCCCGCCAGCTGGAACAACTTGTGTGGTTGTTCCGACGACCGGACCACCTGCGTCGTGACTGCAAGCGGCGCAGGTAAAAGTTTTTTACAACCAATAAGTTGTGTCTGCCTCTCCATTCACCAGCCCGCCCTAACGTACAAGCGTAACTTGAGTCGGCCCTGGCCGTCCGAGACAGATATAATCTGTATTTGTCTGTATCTGTACTCAAGTGTAATTTTAAAGAAAAAAACAAAACACAAAATAAAACAAAAAACTTTACCTCTTCTGCATAGGCTTTTCCAATTCCATCTGTGGCACCTGTGACCACTAAAAAAAGAAGAGAAAACCCATTAGTTACCTTGACAACATCCAAAAATGGTGTGGTCATTAGTAGGCTAGTAATGAACCTTCTGACAAAGCAGCCCTTCAAATCAATTCCCCACATGTGATGTATGACTCTTGTTTTTCTAAAGGTTTTTTAATAAAAGAATTAGAAGCATCTGTTTTTCTCATGTCTGCACAAGAAACTTTGGAAGTATGAGAAATAAGAGCTTGGAGTCAGCTGGTTAGAGAGGGGGTGTGGGGTGGGGGGGGGGGGGGGGGGGGGGAAATGGATAGAGTTTGACTAAATGCCTGTACAAATTTAATACTTATTTCTGTGTTGTGCTCTATAGTGCCCTTTTAGCAATTCTTTGTCACCGAACAGCAGCTATCATTATACTGCTGCCTAATGATCTCTTTATGAACTAGATTAGCTCTCCCATTTACCATATTTACCTGAATCCAAGGTGATATACACCCACCTCCAATAATTAGGTTCTATACATGTCAACTATAAACCGTTGCAATTTACTATATGTAAAATTGAAGGTCATCACAAATTCACGTTCCACTCCACTGTTGTGAGGAGTGGGTATTGGCCCCTGTACCTTGCCCCCCCCACCACTTGCCTTCTACCTGCCTACCCCTGGTGTCTGCCCCCACCCCAACCCCTTACCTCCTTAGATGACTGCCCCCACCTCCCTCCCTCAAACTCTCTCATTACATACCCCCTTTCATACCTACCAGCATACATTTTATTTTTAACCCCTTAAATGCCAATCATGAAAATTAAATCTGCCATTACACAATTCTCCTGCAGATGCCCCAAGACGTCTTGTGTACTCCCAGGGATATGAATGCCATTGTTTGGGAGTCCCTGATCTAGATAATGAAATTTTACCTTTAAAATTCACATAAGAGCAGCTGCTTTTTTCCCCCTCCCACCATTGTTCAACTCTATGGCAAAGTACAGTCTTAGTACCTGGGCCCCAAAAGATTACTGTATTAAACAAACTGGACTGGGAGTCTTAGCCCAATTCCCTAATCAGCCTTTATTCCATAAATCTTGCACAGCTAGTTCTTAGGAATTGCTGAACATCATGACTGGGCAGCTACAAATTTTCTTTTGAAGCATCCTATTACAAGTCTTGCTAGTGATACTCAAAACAGAAGCCATCATCTCCCCTGAAGTTCACTTATGGCAGTTATGTACCATCAACAGGGCTGCTGATGTTTGACTAATGAGTGAATTGGGAGCTGGTTTCAAGTGCTCATTCCAGTTTCTTTAGAACAATATGTGCACAAGAGCCCACTAACTTGCAACCAGCCATGTATAAAAGGTGTGATCCATTTAGCTAGATGGGATTGTAGTTCTGCAAAGGGACACTGTCCTCTTTGCTCAAGAACTAACGTGCTCCTATTTCATTACTGATCTTAAGTCCCATATTATACATTATCACACAATTCATTTCCCCAACAAAATATTCTAAACAAAAAAAGAATAAAGCAAAGGGAAAACCTAACATGATAATGTAGTTTGATCATCTTCTAAGCTGACCCGACTTGGATGTTTAGTTTGATGCATTTAAGGTGACTTCCTCACCACAGAGACATCTGAAAGAACCACCCCCAATGCATTTAAGGTGACTTCCTCACCACAGAGAAATCTGAAAGAACCCCCCCCCCTTCACTGAAAAAAAAAAAAAGAGTCAACATGTTGCATCTTTCCCTCACCATCTTCATAACCCCACCTCCTCAACCTTTTCAATCTAGGCTAGCAAGTTCTCCATTTTAAAAGTTTCTGTTTAAAAGTCATTATTGCTTGGTCTTCCCACACTGTGTGATCCTTGATTAAACCTATAAGACTAATTTAAATCATATGCTCCTCAAGACAGGAACTAAGACTTCCTACATGTCATTTAAGTATTTTTCAGAGAAATGCTGAACTCAATGATTTTATGTACAGTACAAATTATTCTTTACTTGTTTTTTCTTACTAGGAATGTTTACATGACTTTCAAGTTTTTTGTTCTTTAAACAGAAATCTTAAAAACCAACAAGAGTAGCTGTCACTCAATAGAACAAGCAGAGAAGACTGGGGACTTCAGATGAGGCATACAACAGGAACAGTTTTCCCAACCCTTCAGAGGCTCCTCTCAGCTAAGAGCCCCTGGATTCAAAAAGCTAGTTTGCCCACCAGAACGCAAATTTAAAATCTCTCAGTAGGTCTACGGTTAGAGGCCTTGATGTACCACCTGGAAATATGGGAAGGAAATGTATAGAGTTGGTTTGTAGTTACAAGTGCTACAAAGAGCTACATCCCCTTTACACCAGTCCACTAAAAGGAATTTCCCTGCATACTCATTTCTGTCCTTCATGCAGGTTTAAAGCCAAAACAAAGATGCAGCTCTTATTCCTACACTTCTGTTGATATATTCTGGGCTGTCCTCAGGCCCCAAGATAAATTAAAACTACCTCCCAGCCCCAAAGCTAGACATGTCTTTTTTTTCATCCCCCCCCACCCCCCACCAAGTGGTAGAATAGGAGTGATGGTATCTTTGTTTGTTTGTTTTTTTTTAAACCAGGGGGACTGGGAGGGGGGCGCGCTACATTGTCCTCATTTTCCCCACAGATGGAAAAGGTAAGTTCAGAGACTCTTCTGCTTTCTCCTTAATAGAAAGTCATGAAAGAGCAGTTTGTGGGCCATTCTGCTCTTTTTCTTCCTCAAATGTTCTGAAGAAAAAAAGAAAGCAGCTCCCAGGTCAAGTCAGTGTACCCCCCAAGTTTATTCCCCATCAAGCATGTAGCAGCATCTTCTGGGGAATGGGGGAGCCAAGTTCTTTCACAACTTTGGGGAACACTAGCAACAGCCAGCTTCCTTTCCATTCTCAAATCTTATATACTCTGTGTGGAGTAGGAATAGAAGTGGCAAAACTCCTCTCTCAAGCCTCATTTTCTCACCCAGCAACACTGCTACTGTACACTAAGTTTGCAGATGATACTAAGGTGTGGGGAAATGCAAGCAAACCAGAGGATAGGGTATAAATCCAGGATGACCTTGACAGATTGGTTTTGTGGGCAGAACAGAATCAAATGAGGTTTAACAGGGTGCAAGGTTCTTCATCTGGGTAGGAAGCACCTACACCATGACTACATGATGGGTGGTGGTACAGGGGCAGGGGATCTGCAGGGGGTACCACTGACCAGAAGAGGAACATGAGCCAAGTGAGATGAAGTCACCAGTATGGCAAATAGAACGGTGGTGTGCAACAGCCAATGAGTTGCCAACAGATCCAGGGACATGCTTCTACCTCTGTTCGGTGCTGGTGAGGCCACAGCTGGAGTACTGTGTCCAGTTCTAGGCACCGCACTTCAGGAAGGATGTGGATAAGCTTAAGAGGGTAAAAAGAAGGGCCACCTGTATGATTATGGGCCTCGAGACTGGCCCTGGATCAGTCTGAGTAAGAGAAGACTGGAGTGGTGACTTGATAGCTGCCCAACAAGTATGTCAGAAGTGAGAACCAAGATCTAGAGGAGGCAACTCTTCAGGAAGGCACCTCAGGGGAGGACAAGGACCAATGGGCACAAGCTAATAGAGTAAGTTTAGGCTGAACATAAGAAAAAAAAAAAAAACAAAAACAAAAAACCAACTCACTTTCTGTAAGGGTTACCAGAATCTGGAACACTCCCAGAAGAGGTGGTGCAGTCACCATCTTTGGAGGTGTTCAAGATGAAGCTCGATAAGTACCTTGTTGAGCTCATTTGAGCCGGATAAACTTCCTGCCCATGGCAGGTGACTACCCATCCTTATTTGGGCAAGATGGGAACATCAAGACCTGGTCCCAGGCTGCAGGACTCTGGGACAGCATTTATCCCAGATTCCCAGTATTGTGCAGGGATCCAGGTTTTTTGTTCACCATGTAAAACTGTGGGACTCTGGGTTTTCCCTTACAGGCTGGCAGAGTTCCAGCTGTAAGGGCTGCAGGGAACGGGATGCAGGCAGTGCCATGTGCATGTATGCACATGCAGACATGCATACAGCCAGGACTACAGCCCTAGGCAGTGGTGGAGAACAGCTCCCTGAGCTGCCTGCAAATAAGTCCGAGTGGGATGGGGGGGCGGTGTTCAGATTGAAGCCCCCACAGTGAGGGAACAGATGGGGCAGGAAGTGGGACACAGCCGTGGGTGGCTCATTTAAGAAGCTGCTGGGGGAGGGGGAAGAAAAAACCCCCAAAAGCAAACATGTGCCCCCCCAAATCTGTGGGGGGCAGGGGCTGATACAGGGTGCCCAACCACGTCACTGTTGCTGCCCACACTGAGTTGTGCCTCTGAGAAAGGCACAGAGGCATCATCATCTCAGGACCCACCCCTAAAAAAAAAAAAAAAAAAAAAAAGTCAGTGCCTTATGCTCACTTGAAAGTCAGCACTGAGGAGACTGCATGCCATTGACAATATCACGCATATTACTGAGATAGGCTGCACTAACCTGTCCTTATGATTTGCCTTGAGAAAGTCGTGGATTTCTTGTCGAAAATTTGCGGTACATGCGCAAGTAAAGCATCATTTTTCATGGAATATTCACGGAACTACTGAGACCCATTTGCCAAGAGCAATGGTAGTTCCGTGAATATTCCATGAAAAATACGATACTTTACCTGCACATGTGCAGCAGGCAGGCACAGCTATAAGCAATGAAAGGCTGGGGCCAATGGGGCTTAGCTCCCCAAAGCACAGGGCAGCACAGAGGGCTGCAAGGCAGGGCAGGGCAGGGCAACCCAAACACACAGACAGACAGAGCCTGCAGGTGGCCAGGATTGCAGCCAGATAGTGTGCAAAGCACTGCCTACCACAGCAAGTAAGTCGGGAAAGGGGAAGAGGAAGATCAAGGTCCCCACAGTGAGCGAGGGAGCGAGGCAGAAGCAGGAGCAGGTCATATGACACTTGGAAGCCCAGGCAGCTCGTCCAGGGGCATAAGGAGACTCCCACCACTGTGCACACCTTGGGAG